GTCTATTCAGTCTACCCAGTCATCAATCCATCTTCCCTTTAGGATCGGTTTCAAAGTAGTTGCAGACATCAGTATACATCCTTCATTAGATTGCTTTGAGGAATAAATGGAATGATGCACAGAAAGCATCAAGCACAATATTTAGCATATACATAAAGAGTCATAATAGCCCCCTTCCTTCCATCTGTTTATTATCTGTAGCTTGAATGTCACTGGTCCCACTAAGAGTGTGTGTTTTATATTGGGGGAAGGATATTTTTATAATAACTTTTTTGTCAAAAATCCTCTTGGCCCCTCTACCTTCACAATGTATCCAGAACCTGGACTTCCAGTATCAGCCAAAACAGAGTATCCCCATTCCTCTCTAATCCTCCCTCGTTATAAAAGCAAAAACAACTTTAGACATAATAAACATAGCAACACTCTAAAAAGTTGGAAAGAAGTCAGACTGGCTTGGAGAGGAATGACACTGATGTGAGTTATCTGGATTTTCTTTCTGCTTCCCATATATCCTGGATGGGGCAGTAGAGAAGCCTATACCCTGAAACCACCAACAGGCACAGATAAACTAGCCTCAAGAAAAGCCTGCTCCCTGTAACCAAATGACTGGGTAAAGGGTAGACGAATAGAACTGGCAACATTTTAGTAATACTGGCCCTACTTCTAGCCAAACACCAAAGAAAAAACTGTCCACTCACCATTGTGGTACCAGTAGACCATGCAGATAGCTAGATTTCTGACCCCACCAGAGACAGTTAGGAGAAGCAATTATGAGATGGCCCTTCATTTCCTCCACTGGGCTGGTGTCAGTGGTCCAAACAAGAGCTGAACTTCCATCCCCACTCTGCAGCAAAAAGGCAGAATAAGATGGTGTGAGGTGTAGCTGGTTGAGACTCCACTTTCAGTGGAAAGCTGAAGTTACATCTTTACCCAGCAGCAACAAGCTGGAATGAGGTTAGCATTGTATTCCCCTACTCCAGTAGGTCCCCCTATTGGCAGGGACCAGCTGGAAGCTGGACTTCCACCCCCTGGCAGTGGCAACAGGTAGAAGGAAGCAGCAGGTAGAAGGAAGCAACAGGTAGAAGGAAGCAGCACTCAGTGGCAAACCACTTTACCTACCAGGGTAGTGTCAGTGGGACTCAGTGGGGGGCTGAACTTCTAGCCCCACCCAGAGGCAAAGAGGCAAAACAAGGTGGTTCAAGGTGGTGCTAGTCAACATGCTACTTTCTCTCCACCACTGGTGTCAGTGGGTCCAATGGGACCTGAGCCTCTACCCCCACCAAGTGACAGGCAGGTAGAATAGTCAAATGTTAGCTGGTACCCCACTTTCTCTCCTCCCTGGTGTCACCAGGGCCAAATAGGGAGCTGAATATCCATCTCACTTGGATCTGCATGCTACACCTAAACCAATCCACTATGCGGAAAAGACTAAGATTAGATAGAATCCAGTGCCTCACAACATAACACCCAAAATGTCCAGTATACAATAAAAAAAAATTGCTTCTCATACCAAAAACTAGGAAAATCTCAACTTGGATGAGAAAAGACAATCAACAGATACAAACACTGAGATAACACAGATGTTGGAATCATCTGTCAAGGATTTTAAAGTAGCCAGCATGCTTCAGTGAGCAATTACAACACACTTGAAATAAATTTTTTTAAAGAAAGTCTCAGCAAAGGGATAAAAGATATAAAGAAAAACCAAATAGAATGTTAAAGCTTTAAAATAAAATAACCAAAATTTTAAAACTCACTGAATGGGCTCAATAGCAGAATAAATATGACAGAAGAAAGAAACAGTGAATCTGAAGATAGAAAAACAGGAATTACTCAGTCTGAACAGAAAAAGAAAATAGATGGAAATGTATCCACTGTTCACCACTTCCTCTAATACCACCCTGGTCCAAGGAACTATTATATTTTGCCTAAATATAGCAATAGCCACCTAACTGGTCTCACTTCTTTAAACTTTGCCCCTCAAATCTATTTTATACCAAAGTAATCATTTAAACATGTAATTCCAAAAAAAAAAAAAAATGTAAAACAGATCAAGTAATTCTTCTTCTCAGTGGATCCCCATTTCTCTCAGAGTAAAAGTTAAAGTTTTAAAATGGTCTACAAGGCCCTTCAGGATTTATCCCCTGTTGCCTCTCTGCCTGTTGTAGTCAAAATTATGAAATGGCCCCATGATCTCCACCTCCTGGTGTTACTCCTACAGTTAAGTTACCTTACATGGAAAAGGGATTTTGCAAATGTAATTAATATTACTAATCAGTTGATCTTAAGGTGAAGAATTATCTGGGTGGGACTAACCTAATCACATGACCCTTTGAAAAGCAGAGAGTTAAATCCAGCTAATTGCAGAAGAACAAGACAGAGAGATTCCAGATATGAAAAGGATTAAATGTACCATTTCTGGCTTGAAGATAGAGAGGGCCACATGGGAAGGAAAATGCGTGGCCTCTAGAAGCTGAGAGAGACCTCCAACTGGCAGCCAGCAAGAAAACAGGGACCTCAGTCTCTGTTAAGACTAATGGTTAATTTTATATGTCAACTTGACTGGGCCACAGGGTGCCCAGATATTTAGTTAAACATTATTCTAGGAATGTCTGTGAGGAAGTTTCTGGATGAGACTAACATTTGAATTAGTGTACTGAGTAAAGCTGATTGTCCTCTGTCGTATGGGTAGCCCCATCCAACCCATCCAAGGCCTGAATAAAACCAAAGGTTGGGTAAGAGAGAATCTGCTCTTTCTTTCTTTCTTTGAGCTGGGTCATTGGTCTTCTCCTAACTTTGGACTCAAACTTTAGCTAGAAGTTATACCATTGGCCCTCCTGGGTCTCCAGTTTGCCAACTATAGATCCTGGAACTTCTCAGCATTCATGACTGCATGAGCCAATTCCTTATGATAAAATATATGTAATACAGTCCTACAACCACAAGAAACTGAATTCCGCCAACAACCTAACTAAATATGGAACTGGACTTTTCCCCAGAGCTTCCCAATAAAGTTTGGCCTGGCTGACACCTTGATACCAACCTTAAGAAATCCTAGGCAGACAACCTAGACAAGCCCACCCAGACTCCTGACCTACAGAACTATGAGATAATAGTGGGTGTTGTAGTTTAAACTACTAAGTTTGTGGCAATTTGTTACTCATTAATAGAAAACGAGTACACTGAGTTCATCTTTTACCATTCTCATTCCCTTGTTCACCCATTCAGCCACACTGGCCTCCTAGCTCTTCCTTGACAACACCAGGCACCCTCCCACCATAGGGCCTCTATTCTTTCTGGCTGGAATGTTTCCTTCAGATATCATATGACTAGTTTTCTCACCCCTTCAGTCTTTCCTCAACTGTCACCTTCTCAATAAATCCTGCCCAGGCCCATCCCTGAAAGCACCTATCCTTTTTACACTGCTCTGCTTTTTATTTTTCTCAAAATATTTATTGCTTTCTAACATGCTATATAACAAACTTATTTATTGCATCTATTTCTTTTTAGTGGTCTACCCCCATCAGAATGTATGCTTATAATAGTAGGGATTTTTGTTTTGCTTACAAACTTTCCGAGTAGCTGGAACAGTTCCTGACATAGTAGGTGCTTACAATGTATTTGCAGAAGAAAATGAATTAACTCTTAATACACAGCATTATTACATATTACTTATAGTCCAAGCTCTGATGTGCATTGTAAATCCTTCCTCATAATAAGGTTAAATATAGATATAATGCATCTCTTTGTGCAAGGAAATGTGATAGCAAATAACAAAATCTGTGTAATCATTAGTATAAAAATATATTGGATGGCTCTTTGCCATTCTTACATCATTAAGAGCAGGAAGATAGAAGAGGAACCTTTAATGATTGGAACTGAGATATCTGGGAGAGGAGGGTGGGTGATACAAAAAGCACTTTGGTCAAACCTAAGGCTTGCAGAATACATTTTTTGAAACTACTGATAGAGAAAATTCAACTAGATGACTTCTAAAATCCTTTACAATTCTACATTCCATATTTCTCCAGCTTCTACACAAACTCAATGAACTGTTGCCGTAAGATTTCATCTCTCATCCTTTTATTGATGACCGTCAAATCTGGATTTGCAGTCCTCTCTGAGAACCTAAATTCCCATCCTTTGTCTCTAACTCCTTCTGCACATCTCCACAAGGATGTCCCACTAGTACCTGGAACTGAGCATTTCAAAATCATATTCACCCTCATGACCCACCTACCCCTCTTTTGCCAATTACTTAGATTTTCTTCCTTCCTCCTCCAATACCTGAATCAATCTCTGGACCCTCTGTTCCTCCCTTCAAATTACCTCTCTCATGTTACCCTTTCTTTTCATTATCACTGCCATCACTTTTGGGCATGCTGTCACTTCCTCAAACGTGGATTACTTGGACAACATCCTCACTGGTTTTCCTGTCTCCCATCATATCTGCGCTTCCAACTCCATCAGTCCTATTACGGTCATTTGTTAATCTTCCTAAAATGGATTTAAATATTCTTCGTGCCTCAAAATCTTCCAGTGAGTCCCCACTGCCTACAGAGTAAATTTTAATTAACAATCAAACAGACAGCAAACCCACAGGCTGGCATGTAAGATCTTTCATGGTCTGACCTATTCAGTCTAGTCTCTTGTCCCCCAAATTCTCTCCCTCTTTTTGGATACGTCCATCCTACTGAATACTACTCTAGTGCTCATTACAAGAACAGCTGTTTTAAACAAAGGAAACTTGTAAGTCTAGTTTAAGAAAATGTTTTGGAATTAAGGAATAAATTTGCATGGTATTTTGGCATTTCTTACGGTGAGGAGTTCAGACATCTGCCCTGATATCAGCATCTTTTTGATATGCAAATTTATCATAATTGGGGAAGCCATTTTCACAGGTAATGAATTGCTGGTGTCATATATCCTGGTGAAAGTAAAAGCAATGTAAATCTTGAGTGGGCCACCCTATGAACTGTGCTCTCCACTTGTTTCTACAGGGAGCCGCGCAAGGTGGTCCTGCACAAAGGCTCCACTGGCCTGGGCTTCAACATCGTGGGTGGGGAAGATGGAGAAGGTATTTTTGTATCCTTCATTCTGGCTGGTGGACCAGCAGACCTGAGTGGGGAGCTCCAGAGAGGAGACCAGATCCTATCTGTGAGTATTTCTTCTTAATCTTTATTCCCTCCATGTCTGACACCATTTGAGAGAAAGTCACTCCCAGTTATAAACTCCAAAAGCACCTTAATTACAGAGGAAAAGTGGAGAAGACCGTTATGGCTTCAGGTGCATATGTTGTAATTTAAATGGTGTTCAGGTGTTTGAAGCGTGTTACTTCCCTCAGATACAGGCAAAGGTGCTAGTGCTTTCATTTAGATTTTCTGAGACATATTTGCATCCAATAGAACACTGAGAAGCATGCATTCTTTAGGTATATTATTTTTCAAAATGCCAAATTTCTTTCAAAATCCGTCACTATACTCTAAAAACTGTATCTTTATGATATATATAGTTGGTTGCATATAACTATGTAAGAATAATGTATAAAATAGTGCTATATACAATTTGGTGACATTGATAAGTGGTAGCAGCATGACCATTTACCTAAATACAAAAATTACTAGAAATGAGATAATAAGTACTTATTTACCAGGCATTTTATAAAAGTAATTTTTAATTCCCACAATCACTCTGAAAGGTACTGCCCCATGTCCAGATGAAAAGAATAAGGTTCAGAGAGGTTAAATAACTTGTCAGAGTTAACCTAACTAAAGAGTCAGAGCTGGGATTTAAATATTCAGTTTTAATGCCCACCACCTACCTCCCCTCATCCCTCCCTCCTTCCTTCCTGCCATCCATCTTTCCTTCCATCTTGCTTTCCCTCCTCCTTTCTTCTCCAAGTCCTTTCTTCTGTTTGAATATCTACTGAGTGCTTCTTTCTACGACATCAAGCTACCTCCCTGGGATAAACTCTATGATAAGTAGTCATCATAGAGTTGTGAGTGTTCATGCCCATACTGCAATTTTGGCAATCATGCAAATAATAATAAAGAATTACATAAGGAGCCCAGTTCTATGGCTGAGGTTATCATTCACAACTCAATGAAGCATTTAGTTTGTGGTTTTCATTGTATACTTAGAAAAATTTGCTTTTGCTTTATAGCTATGGTTTGTAGCTAGAATTTTCCAAGTGACCTTATATTTGTTAACCATCACTCCAACTCCTACCCATGCACACATGATTTACCTGTATAATGTAGTCAGTGGACCTAAGCAAAGTGTCCAGTGGTCTGCATGCATGGCCCTGCCTTATGTGTTTCTGTGGTTCTCCCACACATGCAGATTCCTTCTCACTCATCAACTAGCAGATGTCTGAAAAGACTGAGTATGGGATAAATAGGGTAAGGTCCCATGCCAGGCCTTTGTTCTGTCACCCAATGTCATGCCTTCAACTACGTCGCCCCACCTACTTCTTCTATACTTAAATGATATATATAAGATATAACTTAAGGGCTTCCCTGGTGGTGCAGTGGTTGAGAGTCTGCCTGCCGATGCAGGGGACACGGGTTTGTGCCCCGGTCCGGGAAGATCCCA